AAAAGAAATTTAATCTTTCTGAATTTTATGATTAATACTGTCAACACATAGAAGTTAATATATAGCATTTTACATTCAAATATTCTTGAATTAAGTTAGTCAAGCACTTTTTTGTCGCAAGTAAGCCTGTCCACGGATGCTAGGTTGTATCAAAGTTGTATATATACACATTCTGTAACACCTGTTCAAGAGGAATACCTTGTTGCAAATTTGCAATTGAATCCTGAAATACCATCATGGTTCGACACAATTATTTCATATAGGTCTTACTCTAGTAGTGTTTACAAAATAATTGCAAAGCTGATGGCTGAAAGCTGGTATCAGATAGTCAGAATGCCTTTGTAAAGGCAGGCACATTGTTGATGCTGCTATGGTAGCAAATGAATGCTTGGAGTATCTATTCAAAAGAAAGATCAAAGGAGTGGCTTGCAAGCTAGATTTGGAAAAGGCATATGACCACGTTAATTGGTCATGTTTACTATATCTCATGAAGCAAATGGACTTTGGTGAAAGATGGATTGGGTGGATAAAATATTGTATATCCACAGTTAACTTTTCAGTCCTGATTAATGGATGTCCTCAGGGTTACTTCAAGTCTTACAGGGGGCCAAGGCAGCGGGATCCTTTGTCTGCTTATCTATTCTTGCTGATGATGGAGATTCTAAGCATCCTGCTTGAAAAAGCAGAAAATTTGGGATGGATCAGAGGGTTGAAGTGTAGTAGAAGTGAGGGAGAAGACTTCCAATCTCACACATACTTCATGCAGATGATACTTTGATTTTGTGTGAAACTGAGATAGATCAAATTTTACATCTTAGAGGAGTTCTATTATGCTTTTGAAGCTGTCTCAGTATTTAAAGTGAACTCGGCGAAGAGTAATGTGTTCAGTATTAATGCAGAACATTGCATTGGTGATTTGGCAGACATTATTGGTTGTAAGGTGGAGCAGCTCCCTACGGCTTACTTAGGCCTGCCTTTAGGAGCTAAAAAGAATGACCAGAAGAATGTGGCAGGGAGTTCTGGACAGGTGTAGGAGTAAACTTGGTCTATGGAAGAAACGGCACTTGTCATTTGGGGGAAGACTTACACTGGTTAACAGTGTATTGGATGGTATGCCTACTTATTTGATGTCAATAATTAGAATGCCAACAACAGTGGAGAAAAAATTGAGTGCTATGCTAAATAAATTCCTTTGGGAAGGTAATGCTGATAGAAGGAAGCTCCACTTGGTTAAGTGGCAGGAAGTGATGAAAGGAATAAAAGGAAAAGGTTTGGGTGTAAGGAATTTAAGGCTGCACAACAAAAGCTTATTATTTAAGTGGCTTTGGAGATATAATCATGAAAGTAATAGGTTATGAAACAACTCATAGATGTCAAATATGGCAGGAAGGATTTTTGGACTCCTCGTGCAGTCCAATCCTCTCCTAAAGGGGGAGTTTGGAGCACTATCAGTAGTCTATGGATTGAATATAGTCAGTTTGTAAACTTGGAGCTGGGGAGTGGTAATAATATCCAATTCTGGACTGATGTATGGATGGGGAATGGAAGTCTCAAATCAAAATTTCCAGTTTTATATCGATGCTCCACTCACAAGAATGGGAAGGTAGCCGACTTTTACTCAAGTAATGGCTGGGCAGTTGATTTTCAGGAGGGGTCTTAATGACTGGGAAGTAGATGAATTCGCTCAGTTAATGCAATTGCTGGACAGTGTCAGTTTGGACAGCAATAGGAGAGATTCAATTATTTGGGCAGCAAGCAATGATGGGAAATTCACAGTTAGTAGAGGTTATACTCTTTTACAGAAGCAACAGGGGAGGTATGAATCTGATTGGCCATGGAAAGCAATATGGAAATGAAAAGCTCCTGTTAAAGTAGCATGTTTTGGGTGGGTGGCAGCAAAGGAAGCTTGTTTAACTCAGGATAATATCCAGAAGAGAGGAACTATTTTAATTAATAGATGCTATATGTGTGAAGAAGAATTAGAAACAGTCAATCATCTCCTCATTCATTAAGTGGCAAGACAGGGTTGGGAGCTATTCCTTGATTTGTATGGTATTAAATGGGTAATGCCACAAAATGTAAAAGTCTGCTGAAGACATGGCAATAGATTTAGTATTTAGATCCCTTATCAACCTGATATCGTTTTTCTTTGTTATCAATGTGTCAAACATATTTTTTTTTCTGATCAAGTCCACGTTCAACTATATTGTCCCTCTCTACCAAGGAAACAGATGATACTAGATTTTGCGTGCTGACATTTCCAAGTTTAAGCATAAGTTTTCATTGATAACCCAAAAGCCAAGCACTCTGATAATGCTGGTCATTGTTTATCAAAAAAGATAATGCTGGTCATTAAAAATTGATCTTTCTTACAAAAGCTGCTTTCTTGTGTAAGGAGTCTATGAAATGTATCATTCTTTATTCATCATATACTGCACCAGAGGGCTCGCATGCTAGGACATATCAGTTATAAGGTAAGCAAGGCATAGCCTTCCTTTTAAAACATCTCCTATTTTTTTTTTTTGAAAAGGTAACATATCTATTATACTAATTAAATCATCAGCACAAAAATTGTGCTGGGAGTCAAAATGTACATCATGTAGAACTTAGGCAAAAACCAAAAGCGTAACATCCTTCCTCTCACAAGGAGCCTAAGACTTCTATGATTGAATCATGGTCATCAATATATTCTAATTTACACCAATAACTAAAAAGAAGAGTACAATTCATCTTAATCTTCTGTGTAGAGCTGCTTGTATCTTCAAAGCATCTTGCATTCCTCTCCTTCCATACTGTCCACCAAATAGCTGCTGGGACAATTTCCATCTGTCTTTGTTTGAGGTAATTTCCCCCGTGTATTCCAACTTTCCA